CCTGCCCGCCCGCTCGCCCGCCAGTCTGTGCGTCTGTGTCGGTGAGAGCGTCTGAGGCTCCCGGGGAAAGCAGCGCCAGCTGGCTCCCCAAGCGCGCTGGAGCCGAGCGCCCGCCTCTCCACAGCACGGTGATTGGCGACCCGCGGCTCCAGGGCCCGTCCGAGCCCCCGGGCTGGTGCAAGGGCGTGGGATTCCTGGCTCCTGCTCCGAGGGAGGGGAGGGAGGGGGAGGGGAGTCTGGGTAAAAGTGAGGGGGAAGGAGAGATCGACAGCCGAGAGAGGGAGGGGAGCGCCCTGGGTCAGGCTTGGAAAGCGTGGTTGAAGCGCACGGTGGGGTGAGCTGAGAAGGGGGCAGGCTCAGGTAAGTGGCGAGACTTCTTTCGCTGCCTGTGCAGACTCTCAGTCTTGGGGCGACGGCTGGGGTATTTAAACTTCTCGGCAACTCAAAGGTGCCCGTACTAGCCCTTGCTTCCTCTCAGTTACTGCAGACGCCATCCTTGCAAGGTGGAAGCTATTAACCCTTGATAGGAAGACTAGAAGATGGGACTCAGCTGGGTTCCTGATTGCCTGGCTACCTAAAGAGACACCTCTTGACCCGCAAGTCTGGGGCACCTGGGGCTGGAGCCCTGAGCCTTGTCCAGTCCTGTGCCACCGAACACACGGCAACAGCGGTGGCTTCCCCTCACCTTTTCCCCAGGTGGCCTCAGCGGTCCCAGCTTCCAGAAGTCAACCACAACTGCTCCTGCCAACCCATCACCACCAGCGTGGTTCCATTTGCTGGCTGGCTGTCCCTTTAATCCGTGCATTTATTTGATTCGTACTGTTTGCAGCCATGAACAACAATATACTCTTACAGGCCAGTAGGAAACACTGGTGGACAGATACTTCAACAACAATTCTCGGTTCCAGAATGACAACAAATACAACAAAGGAGAAGAGCAGCCTCTTAATTTAAAATAACTGCGGAATCTGATTTAGCTGGCTGGAGGGAGGAGCCACATGGACCTGCCCCTCTCCTGTGGCTGCTTGGGGATGCCTTCTCTCTTTTTTTGAAGATTTATTTATTCATGCACACAAGAGTACAGGCCAGAGGATCAGGGGCGGTGAGATGATTCACCAGAGACAGAGTGGGGAGCAGAAGAGGCAGATCAACAAAGTACACTGCTGAGGGGAGCAGGGGGCAGGTCTGCTGCACCATGTGGGTCAGTTCCCTGGTGGGGATCGAACTCCTCCTGCAGTGTCTTTGGACAGCTTCACAGTGCTGTGCTATAATCCCTTCTGCCACCAGGGAGGGCCCACGCATGGGGATGCTTTCTGATTGACCAACCTGAATGCTCTTTCTACTCATCCTCCTGAGTTTTTGTACCTTTTTATTTTTTTATCATGGTAACATCAGTTTAGAGGATGGTATAGTGCTGTAAACTATAACAGTTAGGATACAGTTTCTCCCCTGAGAAACTATGGCTACCACACCACATTCACCACCTAATGCAGTCTCCAGGTGTGGGTCTATTCTCTAAGGAGGGATTGTAAGTTATGGATCAGAGGGAGAGGCAGAAACAGCACATGGCCAGGTGGACAGGATTTTCCAAGCTGGGAGGGAACCATGTAGCAAATAAGGTGTTAGTGGGAGACCAGTGTGTGTGTTTGGGGCTGGTGGTGGTTGGGGGGGAGGGGGGTTGTGGAGTGGGGAGTGAAGGGAGAGAGAAATAATGGTCTTTAAGAAAGCACAATGTGGGGCCTCCCTGGTGGCACAGCCGGTTAAAGCACAGCACTAAGAAGCTAAAACCACTTCAGCATGAGTTCGATCCCCGCCTGCCCGGAGGTGACCCACATGGCGTGGCAGACCTCTCCTGGCCAGCCCGCGCTCCCCTCAGCAGTGTACTATCATATAGATCTGCCTGTTCTGCTCCCCACTCTGTCTCTGGTGAATCCTTTCACCGCCCCTGCGCCTGTACCCCAGCTCTGTATGCATAAATAAAGAAATCTTAAAATAAATAATAATAATAATAAAATAATAATTAAAAGAACCATGTGGATCATGTGTGGACACAGCAGGCAGGTGCTGAGAGGGGGCAAGGAAGGAGTGAGCTGGACCAGGCTGGTGGCAGTGGATGTGGGGTCCTAGCCCAGCTGGTTAAGATGAGGTCCATGTCTTAGTGCAGGACAACTGGCACCCCTTCTGCCCAGGGGAAAACTTATGGGAATGGCCTCATGAGGTCAAAATCCAAGTTTAACCACAACCCTTGGGTTTCTTCATATCATCTGAGTTCTCATGACCTCCATTTACATCCTGTAAAACAGGACTAAATAGAGCACCAAAGGACTATCTCGAAGATGAAGTGAACACATTCTTCTGTGTGATTTGTGACTGAGCTTTAAAAGTCAGAACAGATGACACCCTGTCTGTTACTTACATCCCATGTCAAACTTCCATGTGCTTCAAAATCCCCTCGATGCTGGTTTTTAGAGCAGGTGCCTGAGCCCTGGAGATTCTGACTCAGTGGATCTGGTGCATCATCCAAATACATCTGTAGCCAGCACCTATGGGTGAGGCTGATACAGCTGACTTCAGTGGTTCCTGTGATTTCAGAGAACTGGACACAAAGGGAAAGAGGACATCAGGGATAGAAAGTCAAAACAGTGGTCCAAATCACATTATCCAGCCACAGGCTGGAAGACAAAGGGGCCTGGGGCTGGCAGCACTGAGCCTGGTCATCAGACACTAAGGAAACTGGAAGGTTGTCCATGGCGAGTCCCTCATTTGCATCTCTCAAGATATATTTGCATAGTCGTCAGTACCCTTCTGAGCTCCTTTGGCAACCAGAGGCTCCTTGTCAGGGGTCAGGGCTAGAGTCCAGAGAACAGCTCTTGTGGGTGCTCTGTGCCCACTGTAGCATTTCCAAGCCTCAGCGCTGTTAGGATCGGGGGCTGATGGGGCTGTCCTGTGCATAGCCAGATAGTGGCCTTTCTGCCTACTGAACGCTCACAGCTGTGATGCTGCCAGATGTTCTCTGGGAAGCAACAT